GTGAATAATCTACTGTAGGGTACGTTGGAAATATAACTACAATACCGGCAACTTTATGTTTCTGCGTTTCGTTGTATCTTCGTCGCATGTTTCGTTGCCCCGGGAGTGCAGTGCTCAGAATGTGGAACTCAACTAGGGCCTCATATTTCAGCTTTCCAGGTGTCATGGTAAATGTTCTCAGTGGGCTTACGTGATTTGTTTTCGTACTTTAGCGGTAGAATGGTAATCACAATATATATTTTTATTACTTTTGTTATTACCGTAATGGACACAGATTTCTAAGCAGATGAGTGCTTGCCGCCGCCATCCGCAATGGGCACCATCTCGGCCATTAACGACAGAATGACCTGCTGGCTAACGAGGAACTCGGAATGAGCTTTCGGTATGTACACCGACACTGCTTCTTTGTAACTTCTTAGTGCGCTGTTTTTCGGCACACTCTTACAATCGGACACAACAGAAGCGTGCTTCTTAAGCCACCTGTACTTACTTTTCCATTTGCAAAAGCTACAGAGCCAACGCTGAATATCTATTTCGTTAATGCAGGCGAAAGGTAGCATCGTTGTCTGTAATGTGCGTTATTATACTGGCGGCGTGATTTGCGCCACGAATAACGCTGCGAGGTGCCCAGTTATGTCATTGCAACTGGTTTGAACGATTACGAGCATGAATTACCAGAGTCACACGCGTATTGTCACCACGGGTTGTGAGATTTTCATGGCATGCTCTAGAGGACGACTCTTCAGTGCCTTTAGTTTAATGCAAAATGCAGAGTCTTTTAATGCATTGTGAACTCGCATGTCTAAATAAATAAATTGGCTGCTAATGGGGTAAAACGGGAGAAGGTCGCAACTTTGTGACTTAAATGCTGAGGATAATTATTAGTTATATTCCACTAGATATTTCTTTAACATCGCTGCAAATTATCTGAAATAATACCCCGACAGGTAATACTAAAGATCATGATTTATCCCGTGTGGTAGCTCAAACTGTTAACACACGTTTGTCATGTTTTTTAACGTCAGAGTTCCTAAGCTCAACGTCACGTTTTAGTTAACGTCAACAACTTTTCAAAAAGAACGTTTTCTTTAACACCGATATATCCGATGATCAATGCTCTATGGGGCGCCTTTTCGTCTCGTACCTTCATAGTCAAGTAGTCAGTGGCTGCAATCCAGTAAGGGAATTTTCATTGAAGATAATACTCAAACTTCCCGTCAAAACTTTTTTCGGGGCAATAAATCAAGGTATCCCTCTCTTCCCTTTCTTCCTTAAGTCTGTCTTTGATCAATAAATAATTAGCCGGCGTGTGAATGTTATAGTGCACTGAAGCATGTTTTAGTAGGCTAGAGTATTAACATGAGCCGGCACAGGGCTCACACCAATGAAGAAGTTAAGAATAGCGACCTATGATCAATGGAAACTGTGGTGCTTCCACAGACTCAGAGCACCAAAAGGCGCCAGGACTGCACAGAATGCGCAGCAGAGTCGCAGTGAAAGCTGCAAGGGAAGAATTCTTTATAGATGTTCCTTTAAACACGCTTGGCGCAACTACATGTACTCTTGCATGTCACCCACTGTGCTATAATTGATTATTTTTGAAGTACACAAGCATTATTTTAAACCATTACTCGTTAATCTGTGGGAAAGCGCGGCACGCTATACACATCTGTAAGAAGTTGAACAGTTGGTTGATGCGTTGGCTGATGAAGATTGAAGGCTGAGTCCTTTGTGTTGCGTTAAACGACCCACTGGTTATATCATTCGCACTGTGTGACGCGCGGTCGTTATATGACTCCGCTACAACGCCATATAAAGGCGTCGACGTGAACTAGGAAAAAAAATACCAACATCTTCTAAAAGAAACTTCTTATGGGATGCGACGCAGCAGCGTCGCGTACGGACGCGATCGGCTTTCTTGACTCGTACCTCGTCGGTATCATTGCTCTTTCACTTCCATCGCTTCAGTTCGGATTCTCCGGCTCATGCCTCGTAAGTATTGCAGGTGCGATGTTACCATTGACGAGCGCGATCGACTCTGCTAACCCTCACAATGCCGGCGACGGCCGCGTTAGGCCTACACTTCGGCATATGTTTCGGGGGGCAAAGGAGCTTCGCTTTTCGGCGTGTCAGAGCATCGCAGATAATAGAGCCGAAAGAGTGTTCACTCGATGTGATCTCGGACGTTGCAATCGGTGGAGAGGATGAAGTGAGAGAGAAGTGACACGCGGCGAGCGCACAGCAGGCGAGGAAGAGAGACGTCATCGTGCACTGCGATGGAACGCGTGACCTACTTGGCACCACGCCAACACCTGCGGCGAGGGGAGCGCGGTATGGCGCGTTGGCAAGGAGACACAAACGGACCGTGTTACAGGGGTATTTCAAATCTCTTTTGAGTTCGGTATAACATGAAACTACTGCAATAAGTACTACAGCAAAAATTGCGATTTCATGCGAAGAACGACAAGCAGCTCGGAACGTACAGTGCGCACCTCATGCATGAAGCAAGCCCGCACGAAATTAGCATGCATGTATGGGCGTGGATAGACAACTATCTCAGCTCGACCCTTAAATGGCTTGCTGTTAGCAAGCTTGACAACGTACGCTTCGTGGCATAGCGACTTGTGTCGCGCGCTGCTAAGTGAGAGGTCGTCGATTCGACGCTCTGCTGAGAAAATCTTTCTTGCCGTTTTTTTTCCTTTGCCATCTGTCAATTTGTATTTTACTACGTCACATTCTTGAAAGAAATATGTCAACAAAGCTGTGGTGGACCCCGGTATTAAACTATATAGTGTTAAAAAATTTTTGTTGAGGTTCTCGGCAAATGAAGCATGGAGTCCTCATGGGCTTCCTCGGCAACTAATACAAGTTAACTTGAGGTATTTGACCTAGCCACGTTATATCGCACAAGTTAACGTCATTTTTTTAAAATTAACATTGCTTACGGTCTTTTTACGAAGGTGTTTGAAGCACTGGCAAATACTGGGCTCGAACAGAGTGGCCACAGGTATGAATCCTGTTCAATTCAGGACATTTTTCTCATTTTGTATTTCTTATTTCGTGTGGTAGTAGTTACAGAAATGGGTGGTGGCGGCAGCAATGGTCGACAACTACGGTGCCAAAAGCGACCGATCTTGTCACGCCATAACGACTTACAATGTGGTTTACTTGGCGAGCAGGACTCACTCGAACTATGACTCACCGAAATTTCCTTCCATGAGATTTACTCAAACCCAGGCTTAAGAATTTTACAACACCATTCACTCATACACTAACCGAAGCATTACTCAGCCGTACTCACTGATCATCAGACTCACGGCCTGACAAGAGTCTGAGCGAGCCCGAGCGAGTCGACTCTTGATGGAGTTTTCAGACCTGTGCTGAATGAGGTGGGATGCAACACACGCTTGTAAAGCCTCATAATGCGTTAGCATCGGCATTGCAGTGGTCAGGTGAGGCGGAATCTATCATCGGGGATTTACAAGTCGTTAGTTTGACTGCCACGCACAACAAGATAACAAAAATTTTCATGTATTTTTTTGTCTTCCTAATTACACTGACGTACTTTCCCTGGCAGGAATTTCCCAGTCAAGTTTTGGTGGACCCTGGCATGTAGCACTTTGTTGCTAAGGAAAAAGCCACCTGTCTACGTTGTTACGGTGGTCGGCAAGCGAAGCCATGCCATCATATGAACCAATAAACCAGAATTATTCAACACGCAGCCCGAGACATTTCACCAGCGGCTCGGTTTGTAAATGACTCATCCCCTCATATTTTTTTTATTTCTAAGCGACCAGTTCACGCGCTTTGAACCACCAACCGATAGCTAACCGTCGCAGAAAGAACCTCTTTGGGGAAGGCAAAAGACGTGTTTAAACTTTAAAATATTATGCGGTTCACCAGTGAAAGTTCTAATATTCTTTGGTTGTTTTTGCAATAGTTTATTGCATATTGCGAATAATATTTGAATAGCTTAAGCTAGACAAGCATGGCTTGCCTCAAATATTATTTTTTCTAGACACCCTATGCTATCACCACTTATCCAAACAACCCTGAAAGAAGAACTAGTTCAGAATCGGAGTTCTGACTTTAGTCATTCCGGAGATGAATAATGATATGTCTCTCGAATGCCACAGACGCCAACTGCTCTTCAGAACGGATACCCAAATATGAATTATGAGACATGCCTGCAGAATGGAAAACCGAGTTTTAGACCCCTGATATACATCAACGCACGCACGAACAGACATGAATAATGGCTGAGCCTCCTCTCGTCTGGTTTAGCTGGTGTACTGTACACAGGTGTGTAACACACCAGCTTGCTTTTCTTATGTCATTTCCCTCGTCAGAATAGAAACACTTCTTAAAGTGGCCATAGCAGAATCGACAGAACTTCGTAAGCGCAGTTTTTACCTTTGATTACTTGACTTTAGAACGTTCAATTATTGTAGGTCAAGAAAACTTGAAAATTTTATTCATTCTTTCATTCATTCACTTCTTACTGCTATTTTTCCCTTTACGAAGCTTATTTATTTAACAAAGAGAATGCGTTTAGGTCTTAGGCATTAATTTTATCTTATACATTTGATGAAATACAGTCTATTGCAGAGAGAGTGATTTTTTGAAACCTTCGAAATCCAGTCGCACTCACTGTGGTGAATGTGTAGTATCTGAGGGCCAATACACTTACGACAATAGTAAACTTGTTATTCGAAAGCGTGAAACATTAGCAGCACAATCACATTCATGTGGCCTACGGTAGTTATCACGGACTACCAAGAAGTAGATAATCATGCTCTTGTTTTGATGTCAATATCTAACAATACTTTGGAAATAAGGTGGATAATTTGTAACAGTAGTTCGAGAACATGCAAATATGGCACTTTATTTGAATGCTGAAAGGCAGGTTGTCAGGTCAATACTGGCGACACGTATCGATTTCAAACGAATGACCTCCGAGACGTGATAGGAGAATCAGTATGGGTGACCAAAGAGCGCACTCACAGGCCCCTGCGGATCGCGCGTGCCTCTCGTCTCTTCCAAATGGCCATGCGACTCCGGATGGGCAGATGGTCGAAGTCCACAGAGGAGTCTTCATCGTCGGAATCGGCATCTGTTTCGGTCCAAGACCGAGCCTGAGCAGAGGAGGGAAAAATGACAACAATACATGACAATGCTATGACAGATGCGTTTCCCTGGTATAATTCCGGCACTTCACAACCCAAGCTTGGGAAGAGTCATGTTGCACAATATTAGCGCAAAGCGAAATATCATTTCCAACAGTCCAATCGTCCGTCCTAATCTGAATAATATAGATAGTTGAAACTGCCTTTCTAGGTCACTGCTTTCAGGAAAGCACGCTAAGCTGACAATTTATAAAAGTGCTTCGCCTCGCAACCCGAAACTATAGCCCTAAGCGAATGGAGCGAACGTACAGAAATGTGTCGTGTAGCGGATGTACGCAAATAATCTATGTTAGCCACTTCTAACAAAACAAAGTCGGTAGCGATCACTCTTGCATAGAGGATGAAAGACAAGAGCACAGTCGGTCTTTGTGCGGACACACTGAAGTATCTTGTCACTTATGTTTAATGTAAAACGTCCTCTAAACAAATTCGGGCGTTTTCCAATTGATCGCGGAAAAAACCATATCGCCTTGACCCCGACAATCCCATTTAAAACCTTCAAAAGCGAATGTGGCGAGCACAAAAATTGGCGTATTCTGCACCAGCACATATGCTGGAACAGGCTCGTGGTTGGTGCCCATCTTGGCTAGAGCCAACTACACGTAAGCGTGCACACGCAGATATTTCCATACAATGCCATAAAAGACACAACATTTATTAGTGAAAATATTTTGCTAACTGCAGGCGCCCCAGATCCAATGAAATCCTCCAAGGCCGTCCCAGTCAGCGTCGTCATTGGATCAAGTTGTGCTTTCATCACTCAACTTTAATTCGTTTTAACACCGTGACGTTATCTAGCCTAGTATATAGTACAGCCAGCACGAGATTGTGCATAATATTTATCAAACTTACAGTAAATATTTCTTGAGTCATCGTTATGAGGAGCAATAACTTAGTAGTATGGGAGTCAGTCCCGGTCCATTTATTTAAATTTTAGCTTGTATTATGTTTATAGAGCCTTCTAATTCTTAGAACGACCAGTATTGAAAATACATGAAATGTAAATTACCTGCGATTTCGGAGCGAATCCTCCAGTTACGGCCCTGCAAGACGAAAATAAGTATGTGACTACGACTCAAGCAGAACTGTACGAAAGGTTCCACATAAGGGCTCCCTCTTGATAAAAAGAGGAAAAAAGATAGCGGACACTCGTCAGAACGACACAATTTTCAATGGCCATAGACTGTGACGCCATTGATTGGAGTTCAGCATGATGAGTATTAGTAGACGCCCAATTGCAGCCACTCCTTTGTTCGAGCGTGTATCATGATAACGCCTGGCAAGAAAGCAACACAGCAACACTTGGGCTTCAGATGCGTCGTGATTAATTGATATGTGGGGTTTAACGTCCCAAAACCACCATATAATAATGAGAGACGCCGTAGTGGAGGGCTTCGGAATATTCTACCACCTGGGGTTCTTTAACGTCCACCGAAATTTGAGCACACGGGCCTCCAACATTTCCGCCTCCATCGGAAATGCAGCCGCCGCAGCCGGGATTAAAATGTGTCGTGCACCAGGAAGCAAACGCGGCCGTTTGTCAGGAGATCAATCGGATTCTTTCTCGTGAAAGTACGTGATGAAGAACCTTGAACAAGTCGATTGTTATAGCGCGAGCTCAGAGCGATGACAAAAGGACAAGAAGACGCTCGTCTTCTTGTCCCTATGTCGTCGTTCTGAGCTCGCGTTAACAATCGTCATGTCCTACCAACTAGCCCAAACCGCCACGCTTGAACAAGTGATGCTGCCAATCATGTCCTGCGACATACACGTTTGAGCTTCACAATCTTTTTTGCAGCTTAATGGATTAGCGATGAGGTAATGCCACTTTGCTGTTTTTTTATTTTTGAAACGTATGCCATTTTGTTTGCACATAGAGTTCGTACTGTTCGTCGTGTTGTTGCAGTGTATGAGGCCTGCAAGTTAAGTGGTAAGTTTGGTGAGCAATAACATGGCCTTCATTACAATTAGGGGACACTTTAAGACGCTTCATGATCTCCCGTGAGAAATCCTTAAGTCATTAGCGGCTGCGTTCCTTGCACTGCTACGACGGAGTTTGGGCCACTTTATGTGGTCGATGCAGTCCTCGGCAGCCTAATGCACACTAATTACAATGAACGTGACGGACATGATTAAACGTAATTGACCTTAGGCATTTATTTAAAGCCCAATGAATAGCTTCAACTTCCCACTCCATTTCCTACTTTCATTTCACACTCATAAGTCACTTTGAGTGTATTAATTGTTTCCATATTGATTTGACCAAAATAAATTTTTCTGTGGTGATTCAAGAAGCAGAATTTCTTCGTCTTATAAGGCGCCGCGTGCCACCAACACGCTCAACAAGCGAAAGTGAGGGGGATAAAATGATGAAACACACAGTCATGGTGACAGTGGGCGCAGATCTTAAGCCAGATGAAGTGAAGTGAGCACGGGCCAGTTGGTTTTTCATTCCAAAAGTGGTTACAACGCAATGTAAGACACAGGACAAAGAGCTCGCTTCGGAGCAGCATTCATCTTCACTGGTATCTGTCCCGAGTCTTCTCTAGCACTTTTTGCCAAGTTAGGCTCACTTCTACCGTATGAACGACAATAATTCGTAGACTGAAAGGCGCACTAAGCTTTCACGTGATGTCCAAATTACTAGAATAAAATTAATTACACGGCAGATCTAGATAAATGCGGCCATCGGGATCATGCGAATCAGTCGGCGAGTACCAACCCGTACCGGCTTTCTCGCTTTGACTACAGCTTTAAGAGTTCAGTTGATGACCATGAATAAACTTAGTAGTGCGCCTATCGTGGACTTGACAGGGACGTCTACAACACTTGCAGTGTAGAGGATAGCTCGGAGTCAACTTCGGCGTCAGCCATCACGTTGAAAGGATGTCAGTATGAAAGTAACGAATGACTTACTATGGTGCGATGATGTGCATGCAAGCAGCGGTCATCAGCGGATTCGAGAATCGTACGTGAAGTCCGTAGCTGTTTAATCGTCACCAAAGCGGATAGCCATCACTGCAACCACAACTGGCGTTGCCCCGACATGAAGCTTGTATAGGGTATTATTCCGAAGTATTCTGAACACTGGCCTGGCTCTGTAGCAGAATATTAAACTGCCCCGCAGAATACCTAGTTTCAAGGCGAACCTCGAGCCGTAATATTTATTTTTTTGTTTTCACAGAGGACAACGCTGTCGACGCCAGCTCCACATTTTCGACAACATATGCGATCGCAATATCAAGTCTATTTTCGCCGTCCCTTGGTTGACTGATGCTGATCTGTTGGTCATACCCGTGCACCACTGGCCATGTTATGCAGTTATGTGCCCCACGTGTGTGGTGGAAAGGTCTTCATGACGCACTGGACACGCAAGTCAAGCTATTCAGGTGAATCGTGTTCGTCATTCATTTATCTCCTGTGTCATTTCCACTAAATACTAAGGTTCGGACTAAGAGAATGCCCAGATATATTCTGACAGCTAGGCAGACAGGCAGGCAGGCAGGCAGGCAGGCAGGCAGGCAGGCAGGCAGGCAGGCAGGCAAACAGATATAGATAAATAGATAGATAGATAGATAGATAGATAGATAGATAGATAGATAGATAGATAGATAGATAGATAGATAGATAGAGATATCTGCAGCTGCGTGTTCAATGTTGTTTTTCGTTGGTGCCAAGTTTGAGGTTGCGTTGGCCTAGGGTCTTGATTTGCTACAATTTATACTTACGGGATCAAGGATGATGTCCCGGTCATAAAGTAGTTCAAGAAATAAAACCGACCTTCGTGGTAGGATATAGAAAAACATCTTACGAGGAATACGACGAAGGAAAACAGAAGGATATAAGAGAACTCACGGCTTCTTGGTGAAAAGCTCCCCGAACTCTTCTTCCTGTACTTTTCGGGCTGCTTTTGGCACCCTCGATGCTCATGAGGTCCCGAGCCAGTGTGCAAGTGTCGTGACCCCCTTCAGACAGCACCGTGGCGCCACGCAACTGGCCAATCTTTTCGAGGAACTGCTTGGCCACGGAGCCCTTGGCTTTTACTGGTGGAGCAGCTTCAGCGCCTACCGAACGAGGGCCTCGAACTTCGGCCGACAATGGCGCCACGTTGCGGCATGCTCCCAGTTGGTTTCGCTGGGACAGCGATGGTGGCACTGGCTGGCTTTCGGCTGGCGGCGGTGGCAGGTCTTCGAGCACTGCGATCCACAGTGCAACACAATGAAAAAAAAAAAGAGTGTACGCCAACAGGCAAAAAAATGAGTGTCCCACACTCGCCGCAACGGAAACAGGCTGCGCTGACTGACGCTCCCACGTTTAAATTCATATACATATCCTATAAAGAAGATAGAGCATAGCTGCCAGGGTAGCTAAGCTGGTAAATCATCGGACGCGTTATTTGAAGGTCGCGAGTTCGGTGTCTGCTCACAGCATGCTATCATCTCAATTATTTTTCTTTCTTCTAATTACATGACAATTACTTATAACACCCCGTATATTTTCCTAGGCATAACTGTCTGTCACTTGACTTTAATACATTTAAAGGTGCTTTCGTTTTCCACAACGCTTAAAGATGAATGATACATCAGTAATCTCCGATTCTTTGATGGCGCTGGTTTAAAGTTCTAAAAATACTTAGCTTTTTTTGTCAACTGGCTAGTACATTTACTTAGGCTTACAATCTTGCTTGCATGACCTAAATATCATTTCATAAGTAGACCGCTATAAATTTATAGCTTAACTTCACGCATTTTCCCAACACGAAAGTGTTTTATTCCGGGTTTCACCAAGAATTCAGTGACGTATTTCTGTCACATAAGGAAGGGAAAAATACCCACGATTAGAACATAGAAAATAAAGTTCTGTCAATAAGATTCACACCAGTGACCTCTGGGTCCGTGGCAACATATGCCGGGCATGCTATACACTGCGCCAGTGTCATACTGTGAAGGCTTGAAAAACGCGCTTTTTATGTCTACCCGTGTCGCCTCACAGCGTTCTTGGTAAAGTGCAGTAACGCATTAAGACGACGACATCCGTGATCAGATTCTGCAACGCATCGTTTCGAGGCGTTTTCTCTTCGGCGCGTTTCCAATAGGAGAATCACAATTTTGCCAATGCCTAAACACACCCCACGGTGGCGGCCTTACCAAATGTGTCGGCGTCGCTCATGGTAACCCGCCGGCTTCGCCTGGCCTTAACTCCACATTCCCCACACTCGCGCACGCCGCGAGTAATCGCCCAAAGGGAAGACAGGGCACGCTTTGAGTTTTCCTCTGGTCGGGCAACGCCTCCTCTATTTTAAATAGAGAAGGCGCTGGGTCGGGCAACGGTGTTCGATAGCACCAACATGCCGCGAGTAGGTGACCTAAGCCCACGTTCCGCGTCGAATCATTCACGCTCTTCTGGCTGCAACATCGCTTGCTCTTATTCCGCCCTTAACGTTATTTATTACAATTAGCACAAGCATAAATTACCATATTACCATAGAGTTTCCTATTCGCAACTTTCACGGATGATGGTGTCGCCATGCGGCATCCGTCGTAACTGTCGTTTGGGGGATGCCCACGCTGCCAGCTCATGCCTTCGTTCAGTCGGCCTCACCTAGGCGGTTCGCTGGTGCTTTATATTTTGTCGCTGGCGATTTCTACTACGGTCATTTTGAATTCGGTAGTGAACTACTGAATTTGAACAGGTACTGCGAGTCGTAGTAGCAATGGTTTACTCTTTATTGTATGCTTGCTCAGCTAGAATAATCACTAAATATGTTGGATGCCACTGTGCAGACGCCGTGCAGTCAATGGCGAGGTTTCCTGCTTTGCACGACCACGGCCGCTCGATCTTCCCTGGCAGTGACACGAGCAGCGTTCACAAAGCTGTACGTGCATTCATTCACACCGCAGCAGACAATGTGCCCGGCGTTCAAAACTCTTTTTCCTTCAATATACGTTGCACACGTGTTTTTCAACACGCTGTGTGGGTATAATACATCCTAGAGTCAATGACCTTCTCAGCAAAGCCTTGACAACACGGTGGCTTCAGCCGGAAATACCACACAGTTCGAAGTGACGGGCACACCTCTGGCGGCTGCCCATGCGCCGGCTACACAATCCCCCAAACGACAGCCTTGGATGGATGGATGGATGGATGGATGGATGGATGTGGCTGTACCCTTTCGATCGGGCGGCGGCTAACGCCACCTAGCCGTAATACTTAGTGAACTAACCATTACATTTATCTTTTTTTCCTTTAAATAATGAAGTTGAGGATTCGTACTTCGCAGTGAGGGGTTTAAATTTCACTCGTGCCTTGACTTTAGCCACCAATCAGATAACCTCCTTCTAGTTAAGTCTACCCGCTTAAAATCTATTTTGCCCTCGCTGTCCCTAAATCCCAGTGCTTTAAAAAAATCTGCGCCATAATCCTGAACTATAGGGTGAAGCCCTTTACAGAACATTATCAAGTGTTCGGCAGTTTCTTCTTCCTCTCCACACGCACTGCATACTGTGTCGACCCCTTCGTATTTGGCCCGATATGTCTTGGTTCGCAGTACTCCCGTCCTGGCCTCAAACAGTAGAGAACTACCCCGAGTATTATCATAGATCCTTTCCTTGGCAATTTCCTGCTTAAAAGTTCGATAGATCTCTAGTGCGGACTTCTTAATCATGCCCATTCTCCACATGTCAGTCTCCGTTTCCTTCACTTTTTTCTTAACCGATAGTTCTTTTTGGTTTGGCCACCTGCTGTTTTCTAAGTATTTACCAGTCAACTTCCTGGTTCGCTTCCTCCATTTTGTATCGACATTCTTCATGTACAAGTAGCTTAAAACCTTCCTAGCCCAACGCTCTTCCCCCATTTCTCTCAATCGCTTCTCAAATTTTATCTTGCTGCTAGCTTCCCTGCCCTCAAATGATGTCCATCCCATATCACCTTGTACTCCCTGATTTGGTGTATTCCCGTGAGCTCCTAAAGCAAGCCTACCTATTCCACGTTGCTTAATTTCTAATCTTGCTTGAACTTCTGATCTCATGCACAAGACCGCATTGCTGAACGTCAGCCCAGGAACCATGACCCCTTTCCATATTCCTCTCACAACATCATACCTATTGTAATTCCACAGTGCCCTATTTTTCATGACTGCTGCATTCCTGTTACCTTTAGTCGTCACGTATATTTCGTGTTCCCTCAGATACTCGGTCCCATTGCTTATCCATACGCCCAGATATTTGTATTTATCTGTTATCTCTAGCGTGACCTCCTGTATTCTAAGCTCACTACCTTCGTTGTCATTGAAAATCATGACAGCTGATTTTTCTCTACTGAATCTAAAATCTAACCTATCTCCCTCATTACCGCAGATGTCCACCAATCTCTGCAAATCTTCCTTGTTGTTGGCCATTAGCACTATATCATCTGCGTACATTAATGCTGGTAGTGCCTGATCAATAAGTTTTCCGTGTTTGACTAAAGAGAGGTTGAAGCCCAGTCCACTTCCTTCTAATTTTGCCTCTAATCCTTGTAGGTACATCATGAATAATAAGGGTGACAGGGGGCACCCCTGCCTAAGCCCCCGTTTTACCTCTGCAGGCTTGGATACCTGTTTTTCCCACTTTATAACTACCTTGTTACCTTTATAGACACCCTTTAAAAGATTAGTGACTACATGTTCCACGCCTAGTGTGTCCAGTATTCCCCACAATTCCTCTTGAACCACGCTATCGTACGCTCCCTTGATATCCAAAATGCTAGCCACAGGGGCCTGTGTTCGTTTTCTGCTATTTCGATGCACTGCGTCAGTGAGAACAGATTGTCTTTCCAACCTCCTGTGTTTCCGAAACCCATTCTGCAGTTCCCCCAGCACCCCCTCATCCTCTATCCACGCCTGCAGTCTTTCCTTTATAATCTGCATCGCCAGCCTGTAGACCACTGATGTCACTGTTATAGGACGGTAGTTGTTTATGTCAGCTTTGTCCCCCTTTCCTTTATAGATCATGCTCATCCTGCTAAGTTTCCATCCATCGGGAACTTCACCATCGATTATTATTGTACTCACTGCCTCTCTCAAAGCCTGCTTAGACTTCGGACCTAATGTTTTCAGCCTAATTGGAATGCCATCTGGGCCTGTTGATGTACTACTAGGAACCCTTTTCTCAGCCCTTTCCCACTCTTGTTGTGAAAATGGAGCCATTGCACCACTTGATTCGTCTTTGTCTATTGTGGTGCATAAAGTACTTCTTTGTTGAAATTTATCTGTCACCCTTGTTCTTATATATTCAATAGCTTCGTCCCCTTCTAGCCTAGCACCTTGGGCTGTAGTTATAGAGTTCTGCTCTAGGCTCGTCTCATTTCTTAGGGAGTTTAGATGGTTCCAAAATTTCGCAGCTGCCTTTCTATCTTTTTTATGTACTTCTGCCAGCCACTGAGCTCCCTTCCTTCTAATCTTTTCATTGATCAGAAGGGATGCATCCCTTCTACAGCTTAGAAAGGTTGCCCATTTTCTTTCCACATCATCTGTCGGTTCACCTCGCTGCTTAGCATGTCTGTGTTCCCTAGAGGCTTCCTGGCGTTTTGCTATGGCTCTCTTAACTTCCTCATCCCACCAACTTTTGGGTTTGTGTCTTCTTTTCCGGGGTGACTTGTCACGCGTCTTAACAAGCTCTATCTCAAAGAGTCTAATTAGATTCGTGTATGTCCACACTGTCTTATTATCCTCCGTGATTACTTTCTCAATTTGTTTAGTGGCTATTTCAATTTGCCTTTCTGGATAAAAATTTTCCTGTAGTTGCTCATCTTGTCTCCTTCCCACTTTCACTGCTCTTCCAAAACTTAGCTTTATAGGTTTGTGATCGCTACCCAGACTTCTGGAGCCACCTTCATCTATGTGCATTTCCCTGAGCTTATCATACATCCTATGTGACATCAGTGCATAATCTATCGTCGACTGAAGCCTTCCTACCTCCCATGTTATTTGCCCTTGACACTTCTCGGTACTGTTGCAAATGATCAAATCAAGCCTTTCACACATATCTATGATCATTTTGCCTGTCGGGTCGGTATACCCATCTATATCTTCTATGTGCGCATTCATGTCTCCTAGTATAATTATCTCGCACTCTCTTCCTAACTCCTGAATGTCCTTTGATATACACTCTACCATTGCCTGGTTTTCCTCTCTGGCCTTTGCTCCCGTCCACAAGTA